AACAAATTCAGTGCATTAGTATCTAAGGAATGTTTTAGAAAATCTAGCACCTCCCTCCTGTTTTAATTTTCTTTTTTTTTAAATTTAGTCACCATGAAATTACATGATTCATGATTGGATTTCAGGCATACAGTGTTTCAGCATCAATCCCTTCATCATTGTCCACTTTCCTCCACTACTGCACCCAAATTTTTATTTGTCTCCCACTCACCAGTCTGCTCCTACAAGAGATACTTTATATAATAATGTTTTGCACTGTGATTTAAAGTAGTATTAATGGTAGGGTTTCATATATAATACTTGAACACTTTTCAATACCACCTCCTACTCCAGGTTCAACACTCCTCTCAACCAAAGATTTTGCCCCCTCATTGTTCTATCCCCTAGCCCCCTCAAGTAGCATGTTGCCTATTGAATACCAGTTCTCAGATACTTTGTTTCCAGTGTCTTCTGGTATTCCAGTGTCTTTTGGAATAATAATGGTATTATTATTCCACCATTATGTTTCTTTATGCCCCATATGTTGAGGGACATCATTCTGTTTTGGCTTCTCCTCCTAACTTCACTCACATGATACTCTCTAGGTCCCTTTATGTGGCAGCAAATTTCATGTTTATCTTTTCTTTTGGTAGAGTAATATTCCAGTGTCTATATTTACCAGTTTCATTATCCAGACATTTGGTCTTGTAGACTTGGGTTGTTTTCAGGTTTGGGTTGCTGTGAATACTGCTGCAAGGAATACTAGGATGCAAATGTCTTTTCTGTGGAGCCCTTTGATACATCTTAATCAATAGAGATATTACTATATCCTGGGGTTTTGTGTGTTTTTTTTAATTCGTTGCAGACTGCCTAGTTTTAGGTGATAGATTCTTATGTGAAAACTTGGGCCTTGTAAGTATTGAGTCAGACAAGTAATAATTTGGGGGGATCTACTTATGTTTAGGGCTATCCCAGCTTAGTGTTTGGAGCGGCTGGAGCGATAGCACAGCGGGTAGGGCGTTTGCCCTGCACGCAGCCAACATGGCCGACCCGAGTTCGATTCCTCCGCCCCTCTCGGAGAGACTGGCAAGCTACCGAGAGCATTCGATATGCCAGACACAGTAACAACAAAGTCTCCTGGAGACGTTACTGGGCCCGCTCGAGCAAATCGATGATCAACAGGAGGGCCAGTGTTTGGTTGGCATGCCTTAGAATAGTGTTGCTTAGAAAGCTTGTAGTGTTGGGAATCTAACCCTCTAACCCAGGGTCTCAGACATGTAAGTCAATGCTTTACTGATGTCATATTCTGACCTCCAAAATATTAATAGTCTTTGACTGCATCTTTTTTTCCTTCAGAAGATGATTCTGAGAGCATTTTATGATAGAAAGAAATCAGTATTTATTTTTATTAATTCTAGATACTTCCTTTTATACTTTGAAAACATTGTCATTTTCACCTCTCCCAAAACCATTAATATTTTAATCAAAATGAAAGTTCTTAGTCAAAGAAACTAAAATGAAATTAATGTTTTATTAAACATTTTTGCTTATTAATAACTTTATGTTTTCTTGAATAATTTGAATATTTAAAGAACTTCTCAAGGCAAATCCTATCTGGAAAGTAAGCCTCACATGTTTATCGGCATCAGTATTCTAAATAGTTGCTACTACTTTGTTACTATTATTGTTACCTTGCTTTTCTTTGGCTTTTATTTTTCATGTACAATAACCATAATGATATAAAATGATCACAGAGTTCTTGCCACATGTTTGTCACTGTTTTAATCTTTCAATTTACTCATTTATACATTATAACCATTTTGTTATGAAGGCACTTTTAACATACTCTGTTTTACCCAAGCAAACTAGACAAAAAAGGATAACAATTTGCCTAAGATCACAAATTTGGGGTTGGAAATCACAACATACTAATCTACTGTGGGATTTCATTTCTTCTTCATTATGGGAATCTGAGTTGTCAGGATTTCAAATCGAGACTTACATATCAACAGGTATTAATTTACTTAGAGGTACAATATTGAAGCCCATTTATAATCTGGACTGTTCTTCCCAATTAAAAATTCAGATAACTCTAAGAAATACCTCCTCTCTCAACATCAAATGTTAATTCTAAGGCTAGTTATTTAGTAGATTCCCTGATTCAGCAGAAAAAGATTATAAAGATAACCACCTATTAGATTTAGAAAAAAGAATGTTTCTGCATTTTATCATATTAGATAAACACTGATTTTGAAAGGTTAAATGTTTATTTCAAGTAAAAGAGATCAAATAAAAAATTTAAAATGCAGCAAGGAGCACAGGTACTATTGCTGTGTGAGAATGATGGTTTTTCCATCTTAGGTACTCTCAGTTGGGGATTAAATAATTCAAAGGACTTTCCTTTCAGGTGTTTTACATGTTTCTGTTTACTAAAGAGATATAAGGAAATATTTATATTTATGTATGGATTTGGGATGTAGAATTTCAACTAAAGTTAGTTATTTAACTTTGAAATTTCTATTCCAGATGAAACTCTAAAATCATTATCAAATTACCTACAAGAAAACCTCAGTGAATTGAAAGAATATCTACTATTCATATTTTTTAGTATATTAGTTTTCCTCTTCCCCCTTTAGCCAAGAATAGCTGCACTTAGTTTTCTCAATGAAAAGAAAGTTATAACTTTTTAAGTATCTGAGAATTAGGGTATGAAAACTTGAAATAGAGTAAATAGCATGGAAATAGACTGAGTTCAATAAATTGAATATACATTTATGAATGGGCTGGAGTGATAGTACAGTGGTAGGGCATTTGCCTTGCATGCAGCCAGCCTGGCCGAGCCAGGTTCGATTCCTTCGCCCCTCTCAGAGAGCCTGGCAAGCTACCAAGAGTATCTCGCCCGCATGGCAAAGCCTGGCAAGCTACCTGTGACGTATTTAATATGCCAAACACAGTAACAACAAGGCTCACGATGGAGACGTTACTGGGCCCGCTCTAGCAAATCTATGAATAACGGGAGGACCGTGACCGTGTTATTTATGAATAGCCAAGGGGCCAGTGAGAAAACACAGGGGCTAATGTGCTTCTCTTCTATGCAGCCATCTCTGGTTAGATCTTTGGCACATCATATACTCCTCAAGCACTGCCAGGAGTGGCCACTAACCATTAAGCTAGGACTAAACCCTCATCACTGCTAGGTGTATCCTCAGTCCCTCACCACCTACCCCCAACAAAATAAATAGCACATTGGAAGTAAAACTTGTTCTCCAAACTAAACTGTCTTTTTGTGTGGTAGTGGTCTTCTGGTTTCAGTGTGTCTGGGAGCTTAGTAAGAGTCTCTCAAATTCATTCTTTTTCCTGGTATTGCTATTTATATAATCACATGAAGCCTGAACATTTCAACTTGACAAAATTCAATCCTAAAAAACTGTAGTCCTAGTTATTTCCTAGGGCTTCTTTTTTTTCTCCTAGATTTAATAGCACAGTTTACTGCCCTTTAAAGGTTTGTTGAAAGCATTCTATAGAAAAAAGTTAGCAGATGTTGTATTTATATTTGTTACTGAGAAAGTTTTCAGAAACTTGAGCAAAGGTTTAAAATTATTTTTTGTAAGTAAAACTCCTTCAACAGTCTCAAGATACCATTATAATTTTTTTCCAGTTTTCAGATGCATCTCTTTTCCATTATTTATACTGTATCACTGTCATCCCTGTCACCAAATTACTCAAGTGGGCACCAGTAACGTCTCTATTCCTCCCAGCCCTGAGATTTTAGCAGACTCTTCTTACTCATCTTTTCCCAATGGTTGGAGGCTCTTTCAGGGTCAGGGGAATGAGACTTACTGTCATTACTGTATCTGGCATATCGAGTACACCACGGGGAGCTTGCCAGGCTGTTCCTGTGCAGGTGGAATACTCTAAGTAGTTTGCCAGGCTCTTCGAGAGGCATAAATGGGTAGGAAGTGTCTTATAAGTGTCTGGAAAGTGGCCTGGAGCATGGCGGTGGTTGGGCAGTGAAGGTCGGCTGTTGGGCTGGGTCCCTTGGGGTGGGGAGGGCTCTCACGCACCCCACAGCCTGGTGCAGAGTCTGGTGGCATGGTTCTGGGAGCCTCCTTTTATACTACCATCTGGGAGGAGCATCCATTAGTTCTGGAGGATGGCGGATGAGGAGATTATCTGGTGCTGGCAGGGTGTGGCTTATTGGTGTGATCCCTGAGTCACTGGAGACTGGGGAATCAGGCAGAGGATCTCTGTTCTTAGTCCTGTTGAGTCCAGAGTCCAAGGTCACAAAGTTCCAAATTATCTGGGTTCTGTAGGACTTCATTCATGCGTGAGGTTCTGCCTGAGCGTCCGGAAAGCAGCTTGGAGTGTGGCGGTGATTGGGCGGTGGAGGTCAGCTGCTGGGGCTGGGTCCCTTGGGGTGGGGAAGGCTCTCACCCACCCCATAGCCTGACACAGAGTCCCATTGATTTCTACATAATATGTAAAATAAGCATCTTGACTTTCTTCCTTACGATGGTCAAATATTCTTCTCTAGAATTACTTGACTAGTTTCTTATATCTTCACATTCAATGTCTTCCACTGGTCAAATTTTACACCTTTCAAAACACAAGGTACAAAGAAGTGAACATGGAGACTTCTAAATGCAAATTTCAAGGTATGGAATTAAAGAAAATTAGGGACACTCTCAGATGTAGCCCTGGAGCCTAGAGACAAGATCACATGACACTATTGCTAGTCCCCAAGCAGCACATCATTGCAGGTTCCAAATATAGAATTATCAGGCCTGTACAGCCAGGTAGAGTATCACCTCAAATGACCCTCACTACTCCTGTATACTTCTAGGAAGGCTTACCATCCAAACTTGAAAAGACCTATTACTCTGGGGTGTATGTGTGTTTGTATGTATGGTGGAGATGGCGTGGTACACATAGCTTCTAGATACATAAGAATATTGAATTTAGTGTTAGGTGTTCCCCTCCTATCCTCACCCGTCCCCTGCTCCCTCCCGCTCCCCCATGAAACCACTCAGGCTACATCCTCTCCTTCTCCCTCTTCCAGAGGAAGAAAAAAATGATCATCAATGTTAAAAGGCAGTTGCTAAACCAACACCTAGAACTGGCTTGATGCTCCAGAAAATATGCTCTGGCTCTTCCTCATGGGTTTCGGTGCTATACACAAATGGAGAAACTTCTCTAGTAATGAACTCAGAAATGATACAGGAAAGTATGGTCTTCTAGTATTAGGTTTTTTAAGCTGAATGTTTTTATGCAAAACCAATGAAGTCCGAGTTGTAGTTTCTGTAAAATATGAATAGCAAGGTGTAGGATGACATTGCTTTGTCCTTTCTTCCTTGCCACAAGGAGCTTAGATTTATCAAGTCACACCCATCAGAATGATCCCAAGTCAGTCCCATTCTTTTGTTTATCTGTAACCATTTCTCTATGCTCTCTTCTCCAACAAGTTATTCAGCTTATTCCCTTAGTCATTTAATCACTTAACTTCCCGTTAGTCGTCGATTTGCTTGGATGGGCGCCAGTAACGTCTCCATTAATCCCTGTCATGTGCCAGTGTAGCCCAATGGCATCTGTTCGCTCTGGGAACATGAAGAGCCTCAAACCGATCGTTCATGATCTTGATGAAGAAGTCTGACCATCTGGTAGATGGGCGGCCATGCGGTCTTTTGACATCCTGTGGGATCCAGTCAGCAACAGCTCTAGTCCAGCAGTCATATTTAAATCTCATTACATGACCAGACCATCTGATTTTTGACACTTTGGTGAACGAGACAGCGTCCCTGATTCTTGAACGTCGACAGGTGTCGGAACTCCGGATTCTTTCTCTCATTTGAGTGAAACGTGATATTCCAAGCATAGCTCTTTCAATTCCTCTTTGGAAGACCCGAATAGCATTCTCATCCTGTTTACGTAGGGCCCAGGTCTCTGAGGCTATGTTAATGCAGGAAGAACAGTGGAATCAAATTATGTGCCCGGAGCCGGAGGTTCTTCGTCCTCTTAGGTATTTCTTCGAAGTTCATGAAGGCGTTCCAAGCCGCTCTCTTCCTCCTGGGCAGCTCGGGTGCCAGGTCCTTTGTCATGTTGACTTCTCGACCTAGGTACACATAGCTGTTGCATTCGGAGATGGTCGTTCCGTTGAGAGCGAATGGGGCCTCAGGGACGAGGCTGTTTCTCATAAACATTGTCTTCATAAGATTCAGCTGTAGTCCCACCTTTCCACACTCATGGTCAAAGTCGGCCAGCATTTGTGCCTCTTGGCTGATGTTTGGTGTTATTAAAACAATGTCATCAGCAAAAAGGAGGTGGTGTAGTTGCCGACCATCTATCTTCACTCCCATTCCTTCCCATTCCAGTCGTCGCATGATGTTCTTGAGGGTGAACTGAAGCGTTTCGGTGAAATGGTATCTCCCCTGCCGAACCCCTCTCTTGACATCGATGATTACTTCTTTGTAGAATGGTGAGATCCTGGTAGTGAATCCGCAATACAGCTCATGGAGGATCTTGCTGCATTGGGCTTGAATGCCCTGATTGGCTAGGGCTTCAATGACCGCTTCCATCTCAACAGAATCAAAGGCCTTCTTTATATCAATGAACGTTAAACAGAGGGTCATCTTGAACTCCCGAGAAACCTTAATGAGCTTGGTTATCGTGTGGATATGGTCGATGGTGCTGAATCCTTTGTGGAACCTGGCTTGTTCGCATGGTTGTCTTTCATCTAGTGTTCTGCCAATCCTATTCAGGATGACTCGAGTGAACAACTTGTCGATGACAGACAATAGGCAGATCGGGTGATAGTTGCCAATGTCATGGATGTCTCCCTTCTTGAACAGTAGTATGGTACTGCCGGTTTTCCACTGGAACGGAACCTTGCATTCAGACAGGTAGCGTGTGAAGAGCCAAGCCAGTGTATTGATGAGTACTGACGGCAGGTTCTTCAGGTGTTCAGGTGTGGCCTTGTCTGGCCCGGGTGCTGTTCGTTTCTTTACTGATGGAATGGCGTCGGATTTCGGAAGGGAGAACGTTGGGAACGACATATCCATCCTGTGGAATTCGGTATGTCGGCAAGTGGACATGGCTATCGAAGAGATTTGAGTAGAAGTCATGGATAATCTTCTCCACTGCCATTCTGAAGGATGTGATGGATTCATCAGGACGTCGGAGGGCAGTCATCTTGGTCTTGTAGTTGGCGAAGGACAGGTGGGTGTTACGAATACTTTTCCCGGCTTCTGCCACATCTACCAGCGCTTCTGCTCTTCTCTCTTTGAGGTCTTCCTTGATCGCATCTCTGCACTGCTTTGCGAGCTCGGACGTTAGCTTGTGGTTGCCTGAGGCATGCGCCAATCCACGTTGGCGAATAAGCTCAAGAGTTTTCGAAGACAGGCGTTTTTTTGTGGCTATCTCTCTCTTGGCGTTCCTCGAACAATCATGGAGGTGCTGAACCAGTCTATCGTACTCCTCGTCAATGTTGTCAACAATGGCATCTTCCCATGTTGCCGCAATAGTGCCAAAGAGCTCCCAGTTGGTGGTCGTTCTGGGAGTTCTCTTTTTGAACTTTGCAGCCCTTTCTCCCCGTTCTGTGAAGTAGAATTTTGCACGAAGGAGACGGTGGTCTGATCCCGTTCGGAATTTTGGGACAACAGCGACATCGGTCAGGCAAAACCATTAATTGAATATGATGTGGTCTATTTCGTTGTGGAATCTTCCACCAGGAGACTCCCATTCCCTTAGTCAGTTTCTGTTAATTTGTAAGGGCAGATCTTTCTAGTACACTGAACTTGTATTGTAAGTTAATACTGCTTTTCTCCTCTCCTTATGTCTTTTGAATAATTTAAGACAATGTCCTTTTGTATAGACACAAGAAGACAATTAATATTATGCTTTTCTAAGATGAGATTTAATTGGCTTCAAATATTATTTATTATATTATTATTCAAATATTATTTATTATTTATTTCTCAACTTAAGTCTCAGCTGCCCTTACTTCCTTGTACCCCCCAAAGCAGGGTCCTGGAGAGGGACTGGATGGAACCAGGGCAAACGGTAAGCTATGTGCTACCCTGACATCAAGATGGGCCTGGCCAAAGTGTCACAGTTCCTAACGACAAGTTAAGAGTTTGATCATGGACAAATGCTGTCATGATCCAAAAGTAATGATGAGACTAGGACCCTGCTAGGGATAGTAAAGACTAATCTGGCCTGAGCACTGTAGTCTGAGATTGGGATGACTCCAGGAGAGCAATTCTATAAGCTTAATACATCTCTTACTGTGTCCATACAAAATGATTAATATTTATATGTTTATATGTTTGTTGGACAAGGAGAGGAGAAACACACCCATGGGATTCTGCCCTTGGGTGGGTCATCTTGCTGAAAGAGAATCTGTCCTAGAAGCAGCATCCCCTGAGGGAAAGAACTTTAACCCTAATGATTGTGACCACACCTAAGTGTAAGCCCAACCCCTCATGGTTTTGGGATTTAACTAGACTGTAAGAGTGGGCTGGGGGATCAAGTTCCAGAGCCAGAGCCAGAAAGAGAAGGGGTTCCAGATCAGGGCCCGGGAGAGAACGAGAGAGAAAGACAAGAATGAATGGGGATGAGACTGGAATAAACAGCATCTGATCAATCAACCAGCTTGGCCCTCGTTTTGTCCACCATCTGCCCCATGGCCCCGGCTGCCCTGGCTGGGGAAGCGGCCCAGGCTCCCCAGAACCTGAGTGGCCAGGGGAAGAGCCATTGGGGCCACCCCCTGGCCACCCTCAGAGATTTTATACAGGTCTATTTTATAAAGTTGCTGTTAAATGAGAACATTCAATGTAATGCTTTCATTATCACTGTCATTATTTGCCATTAAAATGTATCCAAAGAAACAGTGATGAAGAGAGATTCTCTATATTCTTGAGTAATTCTAAAACAGATAATTGATTTCCCGGTATTTATTTTGATTAGGGATATTTTTACCTCCAAGTAATCGGAATCACTGTTGTCTTGACTTATTCAAACAAGGGTTGATAGTTTAATTTAACTTGCTATCACAAAATACTCTAGAGATAGGTGTTTGTTGGATTTGGTTTAGAAACTTAATAATATCAGAGTTAATATGTGAAAAATTCTTAAATCCTTCACCTTATGCTTGCAAAAAAAAGTTATTGAAGCTACATGTAGCACATAGATATAATTTTTTTTTTGCCTTAGCTTTTGGGATTACACCTGGTGATGTTCAAGGCTACTTTGATGGGTGCTAAATAGTTGTCCCTGAAAGTATTCAAGGGACATACTGTGCCAGATATTGAAGTTTCTCTCGTGACAAACATGTGCTCCATCACTTTTAGCAGTTTCCAAAAATTTTTTTAAAAGTATTGCAAAATGAATCTCATAATACATAAGAAAAATGACAGATTATTTATTTTTTCCCAGCAGTTTTCATATAATATAAAGGTACATTGATCATCAACAGAAATAATCATATTAAAAACATTAAACCATTGGTGGGTTTATCTGAGTAGATGTAGTAAAAGTATTTGACAAGTCAGGCAATAAAAGGGAATTTAATCAAATAGACAAAATCTTTAGAAACCTATAACTGACATCTATGTTACTGGTAAAACAGTGGATATTTTCCTTTTAAGCTAACATTGGAAATAAGATAAGTATGTTCATTCTTACAATATCTATTAAACATCGCATGGGAGATTCTTGCCAGTGCAATGATGAAAGTGGAAGAAAAGCTATATAGATTTTAAAGGAAGAAACAAATTATTCATCTTTACAGATGATTTAATTCTGCTGTGGAAAATCTTAGGAAATCAAAAACTGGTTAAGAGAGTTTATCAAAATCATAGAAATAATACCACATAAAACTCAACTGAATTTAAGGATATTAGCAACAAATAACTGGAAAAAAATATCACTTACAACAGCATCAAACATACTCAGATAAATTTAATATGTATTAACACAATAAAAATATATGCCATATAAAAGTTAGAATATTAGGATAATAGTAGTCTCAAAATAGAAAAAAATTATGTCAACTTACAGATGAATTAGCTCTACCTATTTATATAGCATCTATGTATATATTCAACAATCTCATAGGTGCTATGTTAAAAATTATAACAGTAAAAAAAAGAAGTTAAGCAACTGGATACATATTATATCAAACTTTATTTCAAAGAGAAGATCAGCATTGTTTGAGAGGAGGGGTCTGAGCATTAATGAT